CTTACGCTCCCTTCTGCGTGACTTACGCTACTCCAACGCCCAAGGCAAAGCAACACTAATATCCAAAGATTATTATAAAATGTTGTTTTTTTATAAAACATATTCATCTCTAGTACGCATTCATTAACATAAATAGTATAACTAATTATTTTCCTATGAACATAAATCATGGCTTTGATACCAATTCGGACATGACCGTTCATCATAAATGAAATTAGACACAAATTAGTGATATAGTATTAAAAATAGCAAGCATAACGATAAGGATCATGTGAGAAGGATTTGGACCTTTGATCACCTCCAATCTCAAACTCATTCGTCAATTGTGCTTGATATAGGAATTGATCTATTCTAATATACATCTAAAGGTGAAGATTCCTTTTATGTTTTTTACCTTAACTCTCTTTCTCACTGAACCTAACCCTATATATATATATATATATATATATATATATATATATATAGTGAGAGAGAGGAGCGATTAAATGCAAATCAACTCTTTTGTGCAAACCTTACAAATCAATTTCATTTATCCATTTTTTTGATCAATGATCATGATTAAAATGTGTTATATATTAGAAAAGTAAAAAAAAAATAAAAATAAAAGTTCTAATACTTATTCAAGAAAGGGCAAAATTGGCGAACCATCCTTAAATTCCAGCCATATTATTCGATCCTTTCCAAAAATCATTTTGGAAATTGGTTTCATCAATAAAAACATTTTAGAAACTGTACCTCATTTTTTTTCATTAGTGAAATTGGTTTCATTGTTCGTCTGCATAATGAAATTTGAGCCAGAGATGGTTCAGTTAATGAAACATTTTCCAAATATTTGAATAACATGTTTTCATTAATGAAATTTGTTTCATCATTGAAATTGATTTCATGGACAATTTGTTAAATGTTTCCTAATCAAAATGGAATCAATTTCATGGTTTCTAATCAAGAAGAACTCGGTTTTACATATGAAACTATATATTGTTCAGTCAATGAAACACTTCAAGAACTGAATAATAATATTTCATTCATTTTTAAATATGTTTCATGTTTTCTAACCAGAATGGAATTGGTTTCTTGGCTTATAGCCAAGATGAAATTGGTTTTATTAACAAAACCAAATATAATTCAGTCAATGAAATATTCCAAGACGTGAATATTATTATTTTATTAATGAAACTAGTTTCATGGTTCCTAAACAAAATGAAATTAATACATAAGATGTAAAATCGGTTTCATGTAGTATTTTTAATTTAATAAAAGAATATAAAATATTGATGGTAATAATTATATATTAAAATCAATTGATTTACAGTTTCCTTAAAAACAGTTACTCTATTTAATCTTCCATATTTAAAAACAATTAAAACATTACCAAGATTATCTATTATAAAGTAAAATGACATTCACACCCTTATTCATTAAAAATAAAGAGAAAAACATAGAATTATTCTGTTGGTTGATGGTGGTTTCTATTGTTTGCATGATATAGAAGGTTTGCAAAGTAAACCTCTCTCTCTCTCTCTCTCTCTATATATATATATATATATATATATGAGCCTAATCAAATGAGAACTAATTAGTTTGTGGTAACCGTGAGGTCCAATATATACCAATCATTTAAGATAATTATTAATATATTTAAATAATCATAAAGGATAATTTGGTAATAAGATTT